AAACTGTATTATCTCTCATTGGTCTATATATAAAATGACTTTTATCATCATTCGGTTAAATTTGTCTGCAAATATATATTAATCAACATTCTTTGCGCCTATCAAATAGTTGCAACTTGTAGTCTTAAACCATCAAACGTACCAATTAACTCCTCCAACAATCAAAATAGAGCATATTAAGCCCCCTTAAATTGATAAACCGCCGTTAAGGTTAAAAACCCTTTTTAGTTAATAGAAGCCTAGAAGGTGATATAAATTACTATATAGAGAGACATACAGACCATCTATGGTGATGTGGACGGGAAGTGACCCCTTGCATTGTATTTTATATTTAGAGATACAGACTCTATAATTATATATGTATACATATTCTCTAAATATAAAATATAATATACAGTAGTGTGATTGTTGAGTATTGACTATGAAATGATATTTGATATTAAACATTATTTTTAAATTCTGGACTCCACTTAAATTTTTTAATAAAGAAAATAACTCAGTTTGTCTTTCAAAATTGACGGCTCAAGTGTTACTTTTAGTATATTTGTATAATGTGTAACAGTAGTACATCTTTGAAAGACAATTATTTGATCTATTTTTCTTTTTAATGAGCTACTTAACTGTTTCTGCTTAGCCTTTTCCGCTTTGGTACGATCTCTTATGTGTTGATTGATTAACACAATAACATGTTCTTTGTAACATTGAGAGGACCAGTGTTGGGATATATATATATTTTTTGTCATTAAAATAGAAAATCTGTTTCTTATATTTTCTATAAAGTTGTTACTTTTGGTAGCAAGTTGTTATTCTTTATTTGAACAAAAGGACTGAGAAAACAAAATAAGTTTAACATACTTTATATAAGTTAAAATCAAATTAAATTTAATGCAGTGTTTGGTTGCAAGAAGCTGGACCTCTTTTTAAGAACATTATTGTACAAATGATTATTCATGCATGATCGTTTAAATCATAAGAGTTTTGTATGGCGGCAATTATCATTATTATTATCATACAAATGGTTAGGGTGTGGAATTCATGTAGTAAAAATATTAAAAAATAAATAAATAGGATTTGAATACTCAACTATTCCTTTGAAAAAATTTTGGAATGAATTTGACCTTGTATTTTAATTAAAGATGCAATTAGTTAATTATTGTGGACAAATATAGTAAGATGACATGTTTGGTCAAGATAATATATATATGTTTCCAAGGATTAGACGGCAGTGATTCACATATATTGTTGAGATTTGTGAGATTTCTCACATGTGTTGGTCAGCGTCACCCAACGTGCACATCACATTCAGTCCAGATTTAGAAAAATGCGAATGAGTCGTGTGGGACAGCTTCAAGAATAATAAGACCAAATTTGATGTGACTTGGCCATATCTAGCCACCGATGAATGATTGGCCCGACTGAATTTTTTTTTTTTTTTTTGCTATTTTATTCATTAATTTTACTTTTTTTAACCATATGCTTTCAAAATTTTGAATTTGTCACAACTGAAATTAGAAAAAAAAAAAAAAAAAAAAAATTACTATTGTCCGCCCACAATATTTTCTATTCAGATTGTCTCCTCTCATATTTTGCTTAACATATCTCACGTGTTAAAATTACAATAGTAATAATAATAATAATGACCTTATCAAATTTTTACTTTTTAAAAGAAAATCACGAGTTTAAAGTCTCAGTGGAGGCACTCTAATTTACCACTGTCATTATGTTGTGCCTATACTGACTTTCTTAATTATTAAGGATCCGTTTGGATAGTTAGAAATTGATGATGAAAAGTAAAAAGAAAAAAAAGTGACAAAATAAAAAATAAAATAAAGTTTTCTATTCTTTAACAAGCATCATCTGAATTCAGAGAATTTATCATTGCTATTACTTCAAGAATATACATTCTCCAAATTGAAGACTTTTAAATGGGAGAATGTGGGGGAGTGGATCGCATCACTGGTGCCAGTGTCATGGTGATAGAACTGGCACCCTCTCTTACGTTTGTCATCCTTCAATTTAGAGAATGTATCATTGTTCTTTCTTTAATCCAAATAGTTTAGCCTCTCCTAAATTCTTAAGACGCTTTCTCAAAGTACTCACTTTTTTTTTTTTTTTTTTAACAATTACTATTATCAAATTATTTAGCCGCCTAGAATTGTTAACAACTATTATTATTATCATTATTTAGCCGCCGGGAGAAGATACTTTGGAGAAGTTCTAAATTATTGGAAGTATTCTCTTGTCCATTATTAGATAATTTGCAAATTTTCTTTCTATTCCGTGTCTATTTTGTTATGCTAAAACGGATTTTTCTCCTCCTCTCTTCAAAAGCATAATTTTGCATGTTGCATGTTGACTAGTATTTGCGACTATTTGCTTGAAACGTTGGATATATTTATATATATAAGTTCCCCATTACAAGGAACAAAAGGCAGCAAAACCCATAAACACGATTTTATTCCCTTATTCGTAAGGGTATTTATGTCATTCCAATTAGAGTACAGATAAATTACTGATTTTGCATATTAATTGGCCTGCGGTCAGCTGACCCCCTTCTTCAATTGGAGGGACATTGACACATCAAGTCCCTTTCTAAAATTTAAATATCCATTACTTTTGGTACTGTATATGGTAGCACTAATGGCCTTTCTAAAAGCCAAAAATGTGACAGTCCTCTTTTAGCTCCAGCAGGACCATCTGCCCAATAAAATATATCTATATCTACACACACACACGCGCGCACGCACACACTTAGCTTTAATTGTCTCCAAACTAAAGTAGCTTTGCACTTAAAACACAAGATTATAAAGTGAAGGAGACATACTTCCTCCTGAGAACAGCAACTAAACACTTCAAACCATTTGCGTACTTAAATTAAATTCAAAGACACTACACATAAATATTTACAGCGACCTACTTTTTGTCCTTTTTACCTTTCACTTTGCGACTTTATTGTATTATTTATGGCTTGTGTCATATGTAGTTGGCTACATTTAAGGATTTTGGAGTCATGCATTGACAATTTACATGCCCAAATTGAAGTTCATAGTTCAAAACTCAGCCACAAAACTAATTAATGATAGGAATTCAGATAGTAAATTCGACTAATTTTATTTGTTAGGACTGATACTATGATGATGTGAAAAATAGTGATGACATTATGATGAGGTCAGACCTCACTCACATAAATTATTCGGAATTGTTGATTCCAAATCATTATTTAAAAAGTAATAATAATAAAATCATCTAGAGCTTACTATACTTGTCCTATGTATATTGATTTAATCAAATAAGGTCAGTTTTACATACAGAGGATGCCGTTGACATGTTGTCATGCCCTAAAAATTGTCAAAAAATTCAGTCCCAAATTTGTTGCTTCAGTTCGAGGGGCAATGGAGCTAATGAAAGTTAATTTCATGAATTAAGAGGGTTGGTATATCGCTCAGAAGATGATTAATGAATGTTTCTCTTTTTTGTATAGTAATTTTTTTTTCAGTTTCTGAATTCTGACTCAATAGAAATTTATAAGTACTAGCTTCTGACTTGTTATAAATGAAAGTTTTGTTTTTGTATGTTTATTGTTTTTGAGTTTCTGAATTCTGACTTAATAGCAATTTATTAGTCCTTCTGAATTCTGATTTGTTACAAATGAAAGTTTTATGACTTAACAAATGTTTCTCTTTTTAATTGTATAGTAAATGATTTTGATCTTCTGAATTCGATCATATAAAAGGCAAGAGGGAGAAACGGAAAGAAAGAGGCCAGTTAGGGTTTTCTTGAATCAGAGAAAGGGAAAGAGAGAGGTTAGGGCTTGGTACATTTGATGGATTAAACAGAGATTAAGGCTTGCAATTAGATAAGAGAAATAGTATATTGAAATAGTGAAAGGATAATTAGAGTTATTACCTGCCACGGGAAAACTGTCGTCGCCAACAATCGCCTACATATCCATATTCCGAATGAGAAAGCTGAATACAACAAAACTGATGGAAGGAGAGAGAGCTGTGATGACCGGTGATGGAAGGAGAGAGAGCTGTGATGGAAAACCAAACAGATTCAAAAATAGGGCGAGACCGATGACGGAAGGAGAGAGAGCGACTGAAAAGGAGAGAGAGCGTTAGGGCTAAATGAAATGGGAAAGTGCATGTTTTACGGTATGTGTTAATTGGCCCCAAAAAAAATCGACGTAGTTTAGGGCCCAAATAGTAAAATGTTATAAATCAGCAGAGGGAATAAAAAAGGAGGGAAGGAAAAAAGTGGAGGGAAGGGAAATTTTAGCCTATTTTTTATCCCGTGAAACTGTGTGGGAAGGTGAATTTTTAGCCTCCTTCATTAACGAGGCACTTACATCCCGTTAAAGTTGACATTCATTAACGAGGCGCTTACATCCTGTTAAAGTTAACCTTTATTAACGAGGCCCTAATACCCCGTTAAAGTTGACAAATGCCTCGTTAATATATGCATATATTAACGAGCACCTTTAACACCTTGTGAAAGCATTGTTTTACGAGGACTCTATTTCCAACCCCGTGAAAGCGTGTGACAACTACAAGGAACCCCTTATGAACCTCATCAAATACAATTTTTACGAGGCAAAATAAATAAACCTAGGAAATACCGGTCGTAAAAACACACTTTTCTTGTAGTGATGATAGAACTCGCACCCTCTCTTACGTTTGTCATCCTTCAAATTAGAGAATGAATCATTGTTCTTTCTTTAATCCAAATAGTTTAGCCTCTCCTAAACTCTTAAGACTTTCTCAAAGTACTCACTTTTTATTTTATTTTAACAATTACTATTATCATATTATTTAGCCGCCTAGAATTGTCAACAACTATTATTATTATCATTATTTAGCCGCCGGGAGAAGATATATTTTGGAGAAGTTATAAATTATTGGAAGTATTCTCTTGTCCATTATTAGATATTTTGCAAATTTTCTTTCTATTCCGTATCTATTTTGTTATGCTAAAACGGATTTTTCTCCTATATAAGTTCCCCATTACAAGGAACAAAAGGCAGCAAAACCCATAAACATGAAAGTCCAACAAGGTTTAGACCTTGCCCCACTTTGGGGCATGGGAAATTTGATAGGTACCCAAATGACCATAAGAGCTGCAATTGAGCTCAATGTTTTCAATATCATTAGCGATTCAGGCCCTGAAGCTCATTTGTCTTCAGCTGCAATTGTCTCCAAAATACCCACCACCAATCCAAACGCAGCCAATGCCTTAGAAAGGATACTAAGAATGCTTAGTGCAAATTCTGTCCTGTCAATGTCTCTAAGGCAATCCCCAAATTGTGAGACAAATAATGAAAGAACTTATGGCTTGACGATGCACTCACGTGCCTTCGTGACTAAGACAGACGGAATTTCTATAGCTTCGTCAATGGTGATTATTCGCTCCGAGAGGGAACTTGTGGAAAGTCTTTACAAGCTCAAAGATTTTGTGCTTGAACCGGAGTGTGTGCCGTTCCAGAAGACTTATGGTGTGAGCTTTTATGAGTATGTTTCTAAGGAACCAAGATTAAGCAATCTGTTTGACGAGAATATGGCATGTATTTCAAAGTTGTTCTTTGATATGGTGTTCAAGGTGTACCCTGGATTTGAAGAAGTGGAAGAGTTGTTGGATGTAGGTGGTGGCAATGGAACTTCACTTGGGAAGATAGTCTCTGCTTGTCCACACATTCATGGCATAAACTTTGATTTGCCTCATGTAATTGCTAATGCTCTTGACTTCCCTGGTTAGTTCCTCTCCAACTCTGTTGTTTGTGTGTGTATATATATGTATCATTGTTCTTATATATAATAACTGCTTTTGGTTAGTTTAGAATTCACTAAAGTGTACGTTCTCATATTAACTAATCACTTTGTAGGTGTGGAGCATATTGCTGGAGATATGTTCAAGTCACTGCCAAATGCACAAGCGATTTTATTGAAGGTTTGTGATCGATCATTTTAATTACTTTACTAAGATTTTTTTTTTTAAAAAAAAAAAAAAACATATAGACATCAAATGTGTGATACTACGATTTTTGACGGTTGCCACGAACATCATTTCTCAAATTAACATTGGGGTCAATGGAGCTCTTCACAATAACACTACTCATACATATATATTCTTTATGCATGTAGACGATATTGCATAATTGGGACGATGATCGCTGCATCATGCTGTTGAGAAATTGTTGGAAGGCATTGCCTGATGATGGTAATGGTAAGGTTATAGTTGTTGAGTTTGCGATCCAACCACTTCAAAATGATGTTGAATCAATCAATACAATAACAATGGACTTCTACATGATGATAGCCACAAAAGGCGGAAAAGAGAGAACAACAACTGAATTTGCGAATCTAGCAAAAGCTGCAGGTTTTGCTGAAACAAAGATCTTTTCAATTTCAGAAGGAATTTACGTTCTAGAATTCATCAAGAGAAATGGTGGATAGAGATTGTTTGATGTGACCTTCATATATTTGTTTCATTTGTCAAAGTTTGTAAGCTTTTAATAATAAATATTTTGAGAATCCTTGGACATAATGGAATCTTTCCAATTGCACAAGGGATTCACCTTTTAGGTTGGATTCACCGTCCTTCTTATATATGTTTCATTTGATATTGTTTGTAAGCTTTTCATAAAAAAAAATGTGAGAACTTTTGGACCTATTGGATACCTTATTTTGTGCTATGGTGAGTTAAATTTTGAAATAGGATTCTTGTTTGGAAATTAGAAACGAAATTGAATTTATCTACATTTACAGCCCTCCAACTCCCTCACTTCTCTTTGAATATAGAGAGGTTATATCATTAGCTTAATAGTTTATTAGTTAGTGTTTGTTGGTAGGATCAAATGATTTTCCACACCCACGATGGAAAAACACTAGAACCAAAAAATATGTATTTGGGTGGTAGAAATTGACATTAATTTGTAAGTATATTCTATCAAAATGATAAAATGCCTAAATAACCAACAGTTTATTCCCAAATTAAAATTATGGTTCAACAATGCTCTCTCTATCCAATTGCATTGCCAACTGTTGAAGGCGGCCTTCAATTATTAGTACAAATAACTTGGTTCAACTCTAAAATTTTATGCAAAATCATTTTTTTTTATTAATATGTATAAAGATAAAACTTTAAAATATTAAAATATTAAGACCATAAAATATTAAATGTTTGTGCAAAATCATTTGATAGACCCACACACACACACACATGTATGTTAACCTTACAAATTACTGCACCGTGTGGTAATGCAAGTTTTTTACATATTTTAATTTGAATGAACCAAGGTTTTTAAGCAAGTAAAAAATTACAGTCTAGATCTCATTAGTCATAGGTTTTGAATATATATGATGGAAATATGAATAGTAGGAAATTTATAAGTTGTGTTTGTAGTAATTATAACACAGGTTATGAATTTGATAAGTCAATGTTTTTTTGGATTGAGAACTAAAAACTCAAGCTCAACCATCTTAGTATTGTATCCGGAAGTTATTGGGTCGTTCACTCTTTTTTAGTCCATCTTGTACGTGCTTTGTTAAATAAACTCACAATTATAACAACAATTAATGCAATGCTTATACAATACATTTACATGGAAGACAACACTTATATAACATACTACATCTTCTACTGTCTTCATTTTTTTTTCCATACTTATTATTATTATTTTCAAGACAAGAATGCATTTCCATCCAAACTAACAAACTTCTGTATATTTCCATTCATTTCCTTATAGAATATCAAAACTAGTCACCAATTAAGAATATAATATAGTAATCACAATGTTGGGAAACGTGCTAGTTTAAAAAACTTTTTGAGGGATTTTAATTCATAAATCTTGATTCATTACATAGAGACAAGTTTTATGCAAAAATAAAACATGAGATATCATTCAATTAAAAGATTGAATACTTACATCAAGGTTTGAGTAGACCTTAGATCTCTCCTCTAAAGTGAATGTTCTCACTTATTGTAGATCCCTTTTGCTAGATACCTTTTCCATGGATCTCCATCTTCTTGGTAATGGTCTTGCCTTTAGGAATCACTCATAAGACTACTTAATAAATATATTTATTTTGGTACCTTTGATTATTTCTGGTTTGATCACAATAAAACATTTGTTTGATAAAAAATAATAATTTAAATAAATAAATATATAATAAATCATTTTGTCTAAAAACATACGATGGCCTTCGAATTTACTTTGTGATCAACCATAATCAATACAAAATAAATACAAGTAGCAATGATGCAAATATTGAAAATATAACCCTCTAACTATTAATCATATAACTACCCAAAGTGTCGGTCTAAGAATCCCGAAGAATCCGCCGAACAAATCAAAGTAATTATTAATTAATAAAAGAGTCTATAATTTTCTCATGCTTAAGAGTCAAATGTCATGACGATGATAGAGAGCAATTGCATACGACGGCTCTCGCAATATATCTCAACCTAACGCGGATCCAGTTCAAGTCTTAATTAATTATGAGTCCATCCATAATTACCGACTATGAACAATTTATAATTACTATTTATATATCATGCATTGATTGCCATCACATACATATATATAAATATTTCTCGTAATCACAGGGACACTATCAATTTCATAGTGAATCGAAATATAATAAATTGAATTCACCAATTATATAAATCATAAATATTTCAGATATGTCAGGAACATATGTCACTATAATCCAAATAGGAATTTGCTATGCCAGGGCATATAAATCCCAACACACAAACCTTCCATAAAATCATTTGTGCATTTGCCAGTGACTCGAACATATCTCGAGCAATATGCTCCCCACCTACCAAGTGATCAATTAATAATTTTAGAACACTTTAGTGAATTCTAAACCAAAAGCAATTATAATAAGAATATATATAACAATGATATATATACATGTACACAAATAAAAAGACTAGGACATGGATGTATGCAGAGGAACTAACTAGGGAAGTGAAGAGCATTAGCAATAACATGAGGCAAATCAAAGTTCATGAATGTGTGGACAAAAACATATATTTTTAGCAAAATGATAAAAGTTTCTCTGCCTAACAAAAGTCAGGGAATTGAATCTTTGAATTGCTTGCCATGCATAGTCTCATCAAAACAACGTGCTCAATCTTTGTCTTTTGAAACAAGGGAAAGTTCCACTAGTGTATAGTCTTTTGCCCAAAATCAACAAATTTTTTTTTTTTTTTTTTATGTTGATTAAAAAGGATTTAAATTATATTTGTAGTAAAAAAGTAATTTAAAACGGTCCACGTACTTTTTTTTTAGAGGTTACTGTATACATGCATGGGTCTTTAGGCAAATGTTATAAGGAAAAACTTGTCTCATATCGGATCCGAATGGGAAGTGACACGGGTATAAATTGGTGGATATGCAGTAGGAGTGCAACTTGGGTTGGGTAACCCGAACCCAACTCGAACCCAACCCGTTTTTTCATGGGCTTGGACAATCATTTTTACAATTAGGGTTGGGTTTGGGTTGAAAAATCTCAACTCGAATTTAATTAGGCTTGGTCTTAGGTTAAAGTGCTAACAACCCGAGCCAACCCGAATCGGAATTATAATATTATTTTCATGTATATTTTTACTTTTAAATACATTATATATAATATTTAAACTATAATTACTTTTTTTCTTTTCAACTTCTTCCGTTAAATCTTAACTTATTGTATATTAACATTTAGGAGAATTAATTTTCTAGAAATTTGTTTCCAATTAATTAAAAATATACAAAAAGTCTTTAAACTTTTTATTATTTAAGAGTAATTTAATCTAAAATTAATTTAAGATCATATTAAATTTTCGATATAAGAATTTGCCATATGAGTAATTCGAATTAACTCGAAATTTTTATCCAGAATCTAAGCCCGAGTTGCAAGTCCGAATTTAAAAGTAAAAGGATGGGTTGGGCTTGGGTTGAGTGGTTAAGGTTGAGGATAGGGTTAGGGTTGGGCTTGGGTTTAGCATTTCATATGATGAGTTGGGCTCAAGTTATACCTCAAACCCGCTCGAGTTACAATCCTAATATGTAGTACTATCCAACAGTTTAAGCTTTTGAATAAATGAACAAACTCCCACCCATTACAGTTGGAGTCAGAACCAGACCCAGTCTCTGATCAGGTGTCACGCCAACCGCCCGGCCCGAAGGGCATCCGAGTTTACAACTCGGGTAGGCAACGTGACCCGACCGTAACGAATACGTTGTGAGTTCGGGTGAGAGAGAATGTTATAATGAGAGACTTATTTTTACAACGGCCTATTTATTATTTTTATTATTATTTATTTAATCAAGACACTAACAAAAGAAACAACAGACATCAAGAATACAAATCACCCTCAATCTTCACCCACCACCGAATGGTTTTGGTCTTTGGGCAAATTAACACATTTTATATACTCTTAAAAATTTATAGTGCACATTTATATCAATAAAGAAAGTAGTATCAAAATGATAGAAAGAGTAGAAAATAGAAGATAGTATAATAGTTTATTTTGTAAAATAATATGGATAAAATTCAAATCTCCAGTTGTAACAACCGTGATTTTTTTTAAGAGTCATGTTATATATATATATAAGGAGATAAAGCTATCATCTAATTTATTTTGAAATTTAAAGGAGTTTTAATTTAACTCAACCACTGGATATATATGTATATGTATATATCTAGAATTAGTTGTATTAAATTTTTACCTACGTTGCTATCCCGAGGAGTTTTACGCATTCGTTATTGTGAAGCGAAGAAAAGTCAGGCAAGTTAATTCTTGCTTTTAATCTCTTTTATGTAATGTAATCTAATTGCTACTATTAGCGATTAATTAAAGATAGATCTCTCATGTTATGAATAGCAAGTGAATATTGATAGTTCAGTAGGTAGCCCAAATATCCTGAAATTGTTCAAAGGATTGATCCCTGATTACATGGATATGTTATTACATAGATATATGTAAATGAGATCTAGGTAATGTCGCACAGTAGTCCCTCAGGATCGTGGGTATACTTATTCTGGGATTTTAATCTTTAAGTACAGAAAGTGAATGAACAATAATGGGTTGATCCATGAAAGTAGTATGTATTGATTAAATTATAAATTGTTGATTAGAGTTTTTAGTACTGATTGATATATACGTGAATACACTAGTACTGAATGTTGGATTAATGATCGGGAGATAATTATTTAATAATCTGGTGTAAGAATTTATTTAGGAGAATTATGAACTCTTGATGTTGTGCATGTGTTGTACATAAATATTATGAAGAATTTAGAGATATATCTAATAGATGGTATTTTATTGCACACATATATGCGGATTAGTTGTTCAATTAGTTCAACTTGGCTGCTGGTAGCTTTGCATCTATGGTATTACTATTTTTTTATTATATAAGTTATGTATCGATGTTAAGTTCAGAGGATGGCTATAGTGATGCGTTTAAGGATCTGTAATTGGCTCATTTCTAATTCTAGCCTTATTGTATATTTGATTGACTCGGTGGAAAAATTGGCCAGAACTCACTAGTGCAAGGCAAGGGATTACCATGATTAAAGAGAGAAAATTTCCACTGTAGAATGAAATACAGTTGGGTCTTCAGGGGTTATATTGATTTAAGACAATTTCTACTATAGAATGAAATACAGTTGG